AGAGCGCTTACCTAGCACATGTGAGGCACTGGGTTCGAACCTCAGCACTACATTAAAAATAACTAAATAAAACAAAGGTATTGTGTTCATCTCTAACCAAAAAATAATTTTTTAAAAGAAATTAAAGGCTAAAGATTAAAAAATATATTACATTACAATGTATTAATTGCAAAGCTGAGATAAGTCTACAGATCTTCTGGTTCATGGCTCCAATGGTTTTGCCACTAGATTTTATGAAGTAAAATTAAGTAAAAATTTTCTAAGCACCCATTCAGAACTATATGTTGGACACTGATTTAAAAGCAGGAGTCAGTAAAATAGTAATATGCCCCCCCAAACTGGCTTAAAGAAGAAAAGACCATCAGACATGGTGGTGGTACACAGCTATAACCCTAGCAGCTCAGGAGGCTGAGGCACGAGGATAGAGAGTTCACAGCCAGCCTCAGCAACTTAACGAGGTACTTAGCAACTCACGAAAACCCTGTCTCTAAATAGATATTTAAAAAGGACTGAGGATGTGGCTCAGTGGTTATATGCTCCTGGTACCAAAAAAAAAAAGAAAGAAAGAAAGAGCAACTAATAAGAGTTGTGAAGGAGTGTTAGTAATGGTTCAGTGTAGATTACAGAACTTATACCATGTCTTCTTTGTAATCACTATCTTTATAATTTTAGCAACCATTACTGTGTTTTCTCCCCATCACCAAGAGGAAAAGGTTACTTTTTGTGGTGGTGGTTGGGGAGGTGAATAGCAAAAAGCCTGGTCTTATGTGAAAGGGATCACGACACATAGTAAATGTGAATAAATCACCACCTGAAATAAAGTTACACATGGATACATATGATATGGTGGTCCCTTCTTATCCATGGGGGACTGATTCTAGCACCCCTCCCCCTTGAATACCCAAATCCACAGATGCTCAACTCTCTTATATAAAATGATGTAGTATTTGCACATAACCTAGGAATATTTTCCAACAGACTTTAAATCATCCCTATACTACTTATAACACCTAATATAAAGCAAATGCTATTTGATAGATGTTATACTGTATTGTTTAAGGAATGAATAATAACAACAAAAGATTGTTATGTGTTCAGTACAAACTCAATTTTCCCTCAAATATTTCTGATCCTTGTTTGGTTGAATCTATAAATGTGGATCCCAGAAAAACAGAGGGCCAACTGTATATATATAAAAATGGGCTCTGATTTGAGTAGTTTTGGTACAACTTAACTAATGATCTTTCAAATAGTTCACAAAGTGTATGTATAGCTTTTATTAAGTTTTAATACAGATTTAATAACTGGTATAGTGGACAGAACCATGAAAATAAATTTACTAGTTACAGCCTCACAAGACAACCACTATTTTTCATAACATCTGAGGTTTAATTTTGATTTAACAACAAGAATTTCTTCACTCTTTAGTGAATGTAATATTCTAACTGCATACACGAGGAGACTGACACTATTTTATGCTAGTGAGACTAATACATGAGACTAATAGAGAGCTTAAGCAATCTTTCATGAAATTTATCAGTAGCAATAGCTTGACAAAATAATACTTATACAACCATTTTAGATAACATTTGGCAGTATTTAATAAATTTAAAGATATTCATCCCCTCAGCCAGTGATTAATGCACTAGAGCACATGTACCTATGTAAATTCTAATCAACCATGTTGAACATGAAAAGCAAACCGAATACAAAAGTCATAAGATAAAATTTATATAAACAATCTAAAACCTGCAATAATATATATTACTAAGGGATACCTATACTTATAGAAGAGACATAACTAACAGGACAGGAATGATATACACCAATATTAGTTAGTGTTTACCTCATAGGGAGGATACAGATGAACTTCTGGTTAGGTATACAGAGATTTACCTAAAAATTATTATACTCTGTGATATGTCTTCCATATTTCATACTAAATTAAGAAACATTTTTCTGCCAGATGGCAAAGTCCTGTTTCTGATAGCCAAATGGTCAGGAATGATAAAGACCAATATTGGTTAGTGTTTATCCCAAAGGGAGGATACAGTCATTCATTCTGAGATTGAACCCAGGGCCTCATACATGCTAATACATGCATGTTCTCCCATGGAGCTTCCCCCCCTGCCCTGCATCCTCCCTTTAAATACCATCTCTCTCTACAGTGGCATCTCTCAAACTTATATTTCCTGCCTGGATTGGAAACATATGCCAGCACATACTGCTTAATTGAACATTCTCCTAGCGAGCAGTATCTAAAAGACATGGAAAATAAGGACATTCGACTCCAGCTCTGGGCTCTAAATCTATTCCTCCAGCCTTTCTCCACAGGGCTGCATTCTACCTTATGTTCTATATGAATGGATGCCAACTACATGCTTCTGATGTAAGACCAAAAACTTTGGCATTGCCCTTGGCTCCTCTAGCATATACGCTGACCACTTCTAACTCTACCACTCCCACCCTGAGCCAAGCTATCTTCATTTCTCACCTGTCTCCGTGATTCCCTGGCACTTCTTCCCTACCTATGCTCTTTCCCATACACCCTGGTCAGTGGTCAGAGAGACTACTTAAAACCTGAATCAGAAAACTAGTACCTAATATGAGACAGGCATTCAGTTAAGTACTTGCTACATCACAACACAAAATGGAAAACTGCAAATGACAAGAACAATGAAGAAGAAGAGTGTCAAAAGAGCCTGTAGGAAAACAAAAAAGCTTACCTGAGAAAGTTAAACTTGATGAGACAAGTTAACTAGGATGTTTACAGGCTCGGTGGTGAGAGGGACTAAAAGAAGACCAGTGTAAATGAGAGCAAAAAGAGGTAGAAAAGGTATAGAATAAGTTTGGAGAAGAAAGGAGGAGGCAAAACCATGAAGTGAGCTGGAGATTCTACTATGATGGTTTATCCTTATCCTCAGAGCAACAGGAAACCACTGGTGTTTTAAGCAGAGAAACCACATGAGCACAGTTACATGGCCAGAGAGGGTTACAATGGCTCCCAGGTAGAGAGGAGTAACTTACTTTCAGGGGTCAGAGTAGAACATCATAGATCAGGTAAGAGAGAACTGCAGTAATACAATTAGGAGCAGATGGCATCTTGGGGAGTTGGTAGTAGAGATAAATAAGATATGCAGAAGGTTAAAAAAATAATCAATGAGATTGGTGTTGAATGATATTGAGGGAGTAAAATCAAGGGAATTTTAAGGTTCACAAAGCACTATTAGGGGAAACAAAATATTCCCTTAGAAGAGAAGTCTATGTCTTTAAGTAGTGGTAGCCAAGCCCCTAGCTACAAATGGGTACTGAGCACTTGAAATATGGTTCTTCTGAATAAAGACGTGTAGTAATTGTAAAACATACTGAATATCTAAGGTTTAATACAGAAGAAAAAAAATGCAAAATATCTTAATTTTTATCATGATTACAAGTTGAAATGACATTTTAAATGTAACAGGTCAAATAAAATTATTAAAACTGACTTCATCTATTTCTTTTTACTCTATAATGTGGTTACTAGACCTCCAAATGACCTATTTCCGTTGAACAGCACTACTTTCATATGAAAACAGCAATGTAAGTATTGCAGTTTATTCCAAAGGCAAAAAAAAAAAAAAAAAAAAAGTAAAAGGAAAAGACCCCTAAATTGGGGGGGGAAAAAAAAAGTAATTTTTATAAAGAATTTCATTTCTTTGGTTTTGTTCAAAAAGGTGAGGAAATTAAGGTTTTATTTTTTGGCATCTGAATACTAAAACCATTTTCTATTGATGTTATTTGTGGAATATATTATTTTGTCTATTGCTAATCCAATGATTCTCTTTAGAGAAGTTTCTGTATTACAAGAGAAAGGTTAGGAAAGCACATTATGGAGATGACAGGGACTCAGAAATCATTTGGGCCCACCCCTTCATTTTATAGGTGATTAAGTAACTTACTTGAAAAATTACTGGACTAATACCATTTATATTACATGTATGAGGGAACTCATTACAGTCATTGTAGTATTCAGAGACACCACAGATTTGTAATATATCACAACTACATTCTGATCCCTAAAGAGCTAAACAATCTATGCGACGTTACTGAATTTCAGGATTATCAAGGACTATTTTGAGGCACACAATACTATTTATATTCTTACTTGATAAGAGTGGGAAAAGCATCAGTTCTTAGAATCTGAAACCCAGTCTCAGCTGTTAGTCATTGCTGTGGTTTGGATATGGTTTTCGTGTGTTCCCCCAGAAGTTCATGTGCTGGAAGCTTGCTCTCCAGCATTGTTGTGTTGGGAGGTGGTAAGTTTTAAGAGGTAGAAGCCTGTGGGAGGTGGTTAGGTCCTAGAGTACCACCTTAGGAATTTTTGGTCTCAAAGTGTATGGGAGTACTCAAAAGAGTGGGATGTTATAAGTTAGACACCCCATGTGCTTGACCCTTGCTCTACATGGCTGGTCTCCCTTTCTACTCCTCTACCATGTTGTGAGGTAGCCACAAGAACTGACCCTCACTGAAGGTTGAACAGATAGGGTGTCCTCTGATTTTTGACATTCAGCCCTCAAAACTATAAGTTAAATAAATCTTTCTTCTTTATAATGCACAAGGCACTTTCTAACAGTAACACAAAATGGATTAAGACTGCTGCGAATCAAGGATAACTGACACCTGTTTCCTTATCAGTAAGATGGAGATGCTGCCATGCCCAGGTTGTGAAAATGACAGGAATACTAAACACACACACAACCCTGCATATAGTCAAAATGTGGTTCCCTGACACTTTCTGTTCTCTCCAAAATGTCAACACAGTTCCACCTGTGATTCAATGATGCATAGTTAGGAATGCCATGTTTCAGAGGCCTGAATAACATGAAGATGTTATGGCAAAAGCTTTAAACATCTTAGAATTAAATATTAAATATAATTTGACATTTCTAAAATGTCTTCATTTAAGATACTATAGTTTATCATTTTCTATATTAAAAAGAAACATTCTTAAAACTACTTACATCTGGTTGAATAGCTTTAAATACTGGGACATCCATTAGCGTTATCTGACCCTGAAATAAGAAACACCAACATTAATCTGTTCTTTGGAACTCCATGACATGACATATATTCTAAGTAAAAAAAATTTATTCTGTACTAAAATATTACTAAATAATTTTTAATTATAAGGGCTTACAGAAAAAATGAAAATTTAGTCCATTAAATAAAATTATTTCTATTTAGCTGATAGCTATTTATATTTTCTTGAGACAAATGAGGTAAAATTAGAAAATAAAGATCATTAAAAAAATCAAAAACAAAATCATGTCTATTGGTTCATAGAGCAATGTTGTAATACTGACTAAATTATCACTCCTCAACTACTCATCGAAAATTGATAAAAAGGTTTTATTCCTAAGCAGGTGTGGTAATCCCAGTGACTGAGGAGGCTGAAGCAGGAGAGTCCAAGTTCAAGGCCAGCCTTAACAACTTAGCAAGAACCTGTCTCAAAATAAAAATAAAAACGACTAGGGACATATCTCAGTGGTAAAGCACTCCTGGATTCAATCCCCAGTAACTCCCCCAAAAAGGGTTTTCTTCCTCACTTATAATAAGTACTGATACTACATTTAAAAGGCAACATATTATACGGACTTTGTAAGTTAAGGTTATGGTTATAAATATAAAACAAAGTTTAACAATATATCAAAAAATTATATGCTCTGATCAAGCACAGTTCGTTCCTGGAATACAAGAGTGGTTCAATATCATAAAAATCAATGTATCCTGTTAACAGATTAAAGCAGATATAAATGAATATGTCAGTTAATAAATAAAAGATTTTCTAGATACTTGTCACAATATTCCAATGATATCTTCATATTTCATTTCTCAATTTTTTGTTTACCAAACAGTAAAAATACTTCTTTGATATGTCAATAAAGTACAACTGACTTGGGAAGATAGCATAGGTAGCAATGAAAGGAAATAACCTATTACTTACTAAATTAAAGGCCTAACTTATGAAGCTGCTCTAAAAACACTAGGCAGTTCTTCTTACCTTCCCCATGCCATTCTCCCCCTTGTTCCAGTTGTGCTATTCCCCCCAAATTCCCATACCCAGCTTCTTTAACTATCTCCTCTGCTGAAGTTACAAATCCTAACTCAATAGCATCAGTATGTAAGTTATATGCAAAAACTGGAGTCAGGAGAGAGAGAAGGCTTACCGCATATTCCTCTGGTGTAACCTTAAGAACATCAAATACCACAGCATCAAAGCTTTTCTTCAATTCAGAGCCTTTGTCACTTAATGATTCAGAGCTGCTACTCTTCTGTTAAATTGAAAGAAAATATGGACATTTAAATATTATCTCACAGATGTCACAGAACCTAGACTGACCTTAAAAACTGAGGAAACTAAGAACTGCATGTTAACAAAGGCTACAGAAAGCTGAGCAACATGTGCTGCTTAGCTGGAAGAGTACTAGATGCGGGCCCACGCAACCTGAAATCTAACCTCAAGTTTTGATTTTAGGTTCTTAAGTAACTTTTTTGGGGACGGGGAGGGAGAGAGAGAGAGAGAGAGAGAGAGAGAGTGTTTGTGTGTGTGTGTGTGTATGTATGTGTGTATTTTCTTCATCCAGGCATCCCATCATTTTCTACAGAAATAAAAGCCTTAAAATACGACAATGATTCTCAAATGGTATAAAGGAAAGTTGGGGAGAACAACATACATCCACAGTCAGGTATGAGGTACACGCTGAGAAATATGTTGTTAAGCAATTATGTCACTGTAATTACTTCACAGAATATACTTATATGATAGTAAATATTTATGGCCCAAATATCAACGCACCTTATTATATAAAAAAAATATTTCTTGGCATTAAATCCCAGATAAACCCCAAAACAATAATACTGGGAGATTTTAAAACATCCCTTCCACCAAGACAGGTCATCCAAACATAAAATCAATAAAAATATTTCCAACCTAAATAATATGATAAATCAAATGGACGTAACAGACATTTAAAGAATATTTTGTGGGGCTGGGGTTGTGGCTCAGTGGTAGAGTACTCGCCAACATGTGTGAGGCACTGGGTTTGATCCTCAGCACCACGTAAACAAAATAAAGGTATCGTGTCCACCTACACCTAAAAAAAAAAAAAAAAAGAATATTTTGTTCAATATTCTGCTGACATGGTGGCTCACGTCTATAACCCTAGGGCTTGGTAGGCTGAGGCAGGAGAATCATGAGTTCAAACCCAGCTTAACCAGAAATATAGAAAAAATGTTACCACTCTCTAGCAATCAGGGGAATGTAAATTAAAACTACATTGAGATTTCCTCTCATTCCAGGCAAAATGGCAATTATCAAGAGTAAAAATAAATGTTGCAAGGGTGTTGGGGAAAAGGCACACTCAAAAATTGATGTGAATGCCAATTAATACAACCACTCTGAAAAACAGTATGGAGATTCCTCAAAAAACTACAAATGGAACCCCCATATGACCCAGCTATCCCAATCCTTGATACCTATTCAGAAGGACTCTAAAAAGTTCAATGATACACCCATATCAATATTTAAGGAACACAACTCACAATAGCCAAGTATGGAATCCCTCAGGTGCCTATGAACAGATGAAAGAATTAAGAAAATACATTTTACACACACACACACACACACACACACGAATTATCCTAGCCATAAAAAAGAATGAAATTATGGCATTTGCTGGTAAATGAAGAGAAATGGAGAACATCATGCTAACTGAAACAAACCAGATTCAGAAAATCAAGGATTGAATGTTTCCTCTCATATGTCAAATCTGGAATTAAAGGAAAGAGATAAAAAGGAAAAGTAATGATCAGAAACCATAAGGATAGAGGGAATACCAATGGTGAAGAAGAAGGAGACTGAGAGGGAGAGAGGAAGGACAGGAAAGGGGAGGAAATGTGGAATGAATGACAGAATTATTCTGTGCATGTATAAATACACCACAGTGAAATCCATCTTTAAGTGTATCTACAAAGCACTGATCAAAAATAGATAAATAGGGCTGGGGTTGTAGCTTAGTGGTAGAGCACTTGCCTAGCATGTGTGAAGCACTGGGTTCGATTCACAGCACTGCTTACAAATAGATAAATAAAATAAAGGTCCATCAACAAATAAAAAATTTTTAAAAAATAGATAAATAGAAGAAAAAAATGAATATATTTCTAATATGCTAAGTAAATATACATAAACAATATAATTCCTGCCTCAAGTAGGAAGAAAAGTTATGCATACATTTATACAAAACAAAAAGCCTAAAGATTTTTTAAAGTGATAGTTTCAAAAACAGGAAAACTCCCACCTTTTAGGAAATTAGAAAAGCTTTTATTAAAAGTTACAATGTTTGAAATACATTTCAAAAGACAATATCTTTTTGTGCAGTAAGGAAAGGGACACATTGGAAAGGGAAGAAAAATTCCGGACGGAGAATTTAGAACAGAAGTAGGCAAAGCTAATGATTAATATAAACATTTTTAAAAATGAAGTATTTTCAACAGAAGTTTCAAATAGGAATTAAATCCATTAGAAATAAAATTGGGAGCCATTCTGAGGAAAATATTGAATAATGAATGGCTGTGGGGGTATTCGAATATTATTAGTAGGCAATAAAAAACCACCAATAGTTTGGGGATAAGACAAAAGTTTAAAAACTTTATTTTAACAATGTTAATGGTAAATTTCAGACAAATGGAACAGAAACAATAGAGAATAGTAATGCAAAACTAAACTGAAAAGTTGCTGCAATAATCTAGACAAGAAATCATAAATAACCAAACTAGGATGGTAATAGTAGAAATAAGGAGATGAAGCCAAAGTCTGGTGAATAGGCTGCTCCAAGACAGCTGCCAAGGATCTGTACCTCTTGGGATTCCCACCTTTGTGTAATTCTCTTCCCTTCAGTGTGGGCAGGACCATGACTTGTTTCTAATTAGTAGAAAATGGCAAAGGTGATACGATGTCACTCCCATGATTACATCACTTAAGGTCATAATTTCTGTTTTGCTAGTGGATTCTGCTGGGATAAGAAAATGGTTGTGGCAGGCCAAGAAAAAGGGAGTAGATAAAAGAACTTAAAGATTTAAGTGTAGGTGGCTATGGAACTGTGGTACTACTAACAGCCTAAAGGTGGTGGACTATTAACTGTTATTAAAATACTTTGAGAACAAAGTGTTAAAGAGTCATAAATGTTGGTCTTCTCCAATATAGGAGAAAAACAAAGGAGAAACATAGGAGACAAATGCTAAAACTACTAAGGTAAGTATTCTAGATTTGTAGACAGGCAAAAAAAGAAAAAGATGAAGTAGAAATAAAATCACAATATACTAATTAGAGAGGTGAACACCTGGTTCAGTGTTCATCTCCATCTACCTCATCAGACTAAGCCTAATAGTCCAGTCCAAGAGTTCTTTGATCTCCTTCAACAGGCTTGAAATCAGTGCTCTGTATGATGTCCAAAAATTCAGTGATTCCAAATAAACAATCTTTCTTTGCCTCACTTTCACTATTGTCCAAGGTTCACATAAAGTAGGAATACTCTAAAAGGAAATTATGTGTTTTCTCTAAAATTAAACCTAAAAGAAAGTTTTAAGTAATCATTTCTTATTATTATCTTTCAAGTATTTTAAATAGATGAGGACTATTTCTAAGATGAACAGTGAATACATGAATGACAAAACTGCATGTTCTTAAAAACACGTAGCCCTTTATCTCACATTCTAATTTTAAAATGCAACCAAACAGTGAATGAAAAATCAGAAAAGGCAGGTGAGAAAATTTACAGTGAGGTTTTGTAAAATGTCTTACCTCAGAAGCAGTAGCTGCGATATTAACATTGCTTGCCTGTCCGTTCATTAGGTCCATGCTTCCCTCATCAGTCCCCACCCTATGTTTACAGCAACAGAGGACTGATTACTTCATGTCCAAGGCCACAAATACATTATGTCTGCAGAAAAAAAAAATATATAGATAGAAAAGTTAATATGTGCATCTTCCCTGAAGTTCAAAAACACCAATCCATGCCTACCACTATGCTAAGGAACAAAATAGTTCATCTTTGCTGAACTCCATTTGCTGAACTTTTATTTTAGCTAAGCCACTAAATCCAGATTGAGAACATGAGAACAATCCTATAAGCTATTTTCAAATAATCAGAAACACCAGATGGGCAGTATTCAATAGTTGTTACTGTTTTCTTCCTAAGTGAAGCATCACTTTTCACTGATTAAGTGGAATATGTGAGAATAAAATAATTTTTTTTTTAGTTTTAAGTATAAAAATCATGTGGCAAAGTAATGGATGTCCTACACAATAAAAATTTCAAAATCCAAATGGCACCTCTAAATAAAAAATATTGAATAAGCTTTTCTTTTCTTTTTGTGGTACTGGGGATTGAACTCAGGGTCTCAACCACTGAGCCACATCCCCAGCCCTTATTTTTATTTCATTTGGAGACAGGGTCTCACTGAGTTGCTTAGTACCTCACTTTTGCTGGGGCTGGTTTTGAACTCGTGATCCTCCTGCCTTAGCTTTTAGCCACTGGAATTATAGGCATGCACCACCATGCCCAGCTAAGCTTTTCATTCCTGGTGATCTAGATAGTTGGGGACCAAGGTACTATAAACACGGAAAAATAAAATATGGAATGTGTCATAAAAATACCACAAAATATGACATGTTTATTTGTATAGGGCTTTAAGGTTTATGAATAACCTCAATCCATTATCTCATTTCACAGCTTCCAAGAACATTAGTTAGTGTTCACTAACAATAATGCTATTATTATTCCCATGTAATACAAGAAAGAAAACCTCTTGAAAAAAGGGTAAATGACGAGCCAAGAACAAGAGACAAACCATCAATATTAAATATTTTTTTCCATAATACTGTATTTTTTCTATTTTACTGGAAGTCAGAATATTTTCTTGAGGTTCTATTATCTTTACACAAATAACTTGCCGTACAGCACTGAGTAGCTAACTTAACCTCTCTGACAAAACTTTCTCCTCTCTGTAAGTTGAATGGACTTGAAGGACCCTTTTAAGATTTCCACAATGTTTTTCATAATAGAATGGTAAGTGTCTATAATTTAGGTATTCTACTTTAAAGACTAAGTTTACGATGTCAATAGCAATTCCTTCAATACTAAACTTACTTTCTCTGATAAAGCAATGTAGGATAGCACCTGAAAAGCACAGAGCCTAGAACAAGATTGCCTATATAAAACCAGCAAACTTGAACTTTCCTGTGCTATTTCCTCATCTATAAAACAGGAATAACAATAGATACCTACCTGACAGAGTTGTCCTGGGGATAAACAAGCTAATATATGCAAAAGCACCTAAAACAAGTGCTGGTACATAACAAGAATGCTATTACCATGATGCAGACTTTTCATTACCATAAACTTACTCTACATAAAGTTTAAATTCAATGGAGTCTTCTAAATAAAAAAGACAAAACCTTAGAAATATGCCTCTGGCAAGCACACACTGGTGACAAGTTGCTAAAATCCTAATTGTAAATGCCAATGAATAAAAATGCCAAATCTATTTCCTAAATGGAGCAAAACCTACCCCTGGTTTTCAAATACTTAAAAATTACTACTAATAATAACACTCCTTGGTCACATCCTAAATTTATCTTCATTTCTTCAGATTGCCTAAGTACCCAAGAGGAAAACATTGTGCTAGAATTAAAAAAAAATGTTTGAAATAATGGTGGTTTTAAAACCATTTCAAAGACATTTAGAAAATCAATAGGAAATGAATAAAGCACAGAAATACTATAATTTCATCCAACGGATATTATCTTATTCTATAAGCATCATTAATCTATGATAACACTGTTAATGATAAATTTATGTTCACCCTGTTACACAAAACTGGCTTGATAATTCTAATTTTCTTGACAGTAACATTCAGTTTGCAATGAAATGTTTTCAAATAATTTCATCTCATTCCATATTCTATGCATAGACTAAGTATGACATGAATTCATAAATCAAGAGTGCCCCCTACTGCTAAAAGATTCTTAATTTCATGGTTAAAGAAATTGTATCTTTACCTATTAAATATGTAAATTTAATTATTATTATTATTTACTGAAAAAAGGCAACGCACACTGGGAATAATAACAATATATTTGCAAACTCCGATCATAATCAACTTTTCTCCATCTGTTTTTAATTAAACTGTTAAATATTCCATGATACTGGAGGTCACGTTAAAGTTCATACATGTTTAAAAAAAAAAAAAACAGAACATAGTATATCTTAAAGAAAATTACTCATAATTATTGACAAATATACTACATGTCAATTTTATTTAATAATGGTGAAGTACAAAGGGTTCATATTTAAACACTGCAAGCTCCAAGGGTGACCTGGGTCTATTCTTTTAGTACATGTCTCAAGACAAATTTAGCAAATTAATACATACTTTTATTTTTTAACCTTAGTTTTTTAAACTTATTTTTCGTAGCATTATACATGGCACAATCATTCATAATGACTATCAACATCACAGCATCTATTTTAAAATTCATTAGTTTCTACTCACTCTCTTTTCAACTTTTAAGACAGTTACCAAAACAGGGATATTGGTTCTTTCTAAGCAACATCCCTGATCAGGAAATCTTGAAGCATACATTCTTCCTTCTCAAATTCACAGAACTAGATTGTCAAATTGCAGGCACAATCATTCGGCCCCTAACTGCTTGCTCTCATTGCCTCCTCAAAAAACCAAGGCCTTTTTATAAATGAACAAGGGGTAAGCCAAAGCAAAAATTTCTCACTAGTCAATTTAATCTTATTTCACAGTACCAGCTGCATAGACTTTTCTAAAATAATTTACATAATCATCATCACGATTATGCTAAGGATTTCAGAGTTTTACAAGATATACTCTAGAAAAGTTAAGCAACAACTATAAGTAAACTGGTAGTGAACGTAATTAACTGGAAACTTTTGGACAGTATGGAACAGTATGCACAGGTCTGGTCTAAAATCTCAGTCCTGGAAATTCATCCTATCAAAACTGTAAAAAAAGATAAAACAAAAAACAAAACTCTATACAGAACTACTCAATCAAGCATTATTTACAATAGTGAAAATCAGACACAACTTCAATGCCTTTGTATACAACTACTTTTAAAAAATACAACTGAGTATTTTTAGACATAGCTCAATGGAGAGTACTTCACTAGCAGGCACAAGGCCCTGGGCTGGATTCCCCAACACTGCCACCACCATCAACAAAAACAAATTTGCAAGGAGTGGTGGTGTGCCTGTAACTGAGATATTTGGGAGGCTGAGGAAGGAGTATCACCTGAGCCCTGGAGTTCAAGTCCAATTTGACAAAAATAGCAAACCTGTCTCAAAAAATAAATAAAAATAAACCAAATTTTAAAATAACAATTCAAATGGACAATTATAAGAAACAGGAGAACAGCAGTGACAGGTTAAATAACAGAAACTAAATCTTCTCAGGATAATATTTTTATAAAGTTTCAAGAGGAAAAAAGAACATAGGGTAAAACATAATTACAATACAAATATTTAAAAGTTACTACAAAGTTTCCTTTCCTTTGATATTAATTTTTAAACAAAAATTAAAGGTACACTTTAAAGGATATTCATGGGAGATTCAAAGAAATAAATAAATGGCCTGTGTATGGTAGCACTAAGACAAGCCCATTTTAGCACATGGCAGATCGGCCTTCTCCATTTTTTTTAATCTAAAAAAATTAGGCATTAGTCCCAAATTCCCCAGTACTTTATTTTCAATAATTATAGCTGGCTGGGTGTGGTGGTGCACACCTGTAATCCCAGTGGCTCAGGAGGCTGAGGCAGGAGGACGGAGTTCAAAGTCAGCCTCAGCAAATTAATGAGGCCCTAAGCAACTCAGTGAGACCTTGTCTCTAAATAAAATATAAAAAAGTGCTGAGGATGTGGCTCAGTGGTTAAGTGCTCCTGGGTTCAATTCCTGGTAAACCTGACCACCACCACCACCAAAAAAAATTATAGTCATAGAAATGCTGAGGAATAACAAAGAAAAGATTTTGGTTTTGCGATAATAGTTTTTAAGCTTTTTGGACAAAAGTATGATAAAGCAGTTGTCTCTTAAAACCACTAGTGGTACAGGACTAAGCAAAATTATCTTTGCTATTTGCCACTATGAAAAGTTTAAGTTATTAAGACAGGAACTTAAAAGGAAGTTGAAATGAGACATATAGTCTGGAGCTATAGACTGTTCCCTGCCCGCACCTCCCAAAGAGTTTATTAGCCTCCCACCTTTGTGCTTCCAGGGCTCTTTCATCAAAGTCTACTCCTGTATTTCCACACTGTTTATGTTCTCTTTCCTTAATGATCTTTGACTTCCTTGATTTTAGTTAAAGATCCATATTTAAAAACAAACAAAAACCCATTGTTTTTCATCTTGCATTCAGACACATATATAGCATAGTACTGGACTTAAATTACCTATTTAATAAGTATCTGTTCAAAGAAAGAATGAAGGAATAAACAATATAATCATTCATAAATGCCAGATTAACCATAAAAGTACAGGGAAAATAGCCATCAAATAATCAATACACATAAGATTTAAATTAACACAGTGTGGTGAAAATTTCTACTTTGAGCAATACAGCTGACCAAAATCAAGTAAAACTGAGCTCCAAGAGAAATTTAGAATAGGGGCTTGAATTTTTATACTATTTGCAAAGAAAAAAATAAGGTCACCAAGAGACAAGAATGGAACTGAGACACATGCCCTCTCCTTCCTGCCATATCCCTACATATCCCAATAGTTCATCTGTGTGCTAAGAGGCTCTAGGGGGAAAAATATATCTGGTATAGAAAGATGAGGTGAGTTGTCTATACTAGACATGGCTGAAAGAAAGTATCTGTTCCAAAAATCTATCTTCTGGGGCATGTTACCACAC